TATATAATTATAATCAGAGGCTACTAGTTAAGAGAGATAGGGAGATAGGAAGTTGCTGCAAAGATGTTGAATAAAATCAGGCAAAAACTGTTTTTCTAAAGGAAAAAACATAATCATTATATATCATACACAGTGCTTTTACAAACTAAATGTCATCCAGTTAAGCTGGCCATACACTGCTAGAATTTCAGCCGATTCCTTATGAATCGGCCAACATTTGGTCTTTGAGGGGCCCAGTCGGTACTACTCCACTCAAAGTGGATTTTTTAATCGCAGCCAGCCTGAAAGTTCTCGGCCAAGCAGTGTCTGCATCCAATGAAATGCAGATGCTATTAAGGAATTCAGCAGCCTTTGGAACAGCAGCTGCTGAATACAATAGCCGGCAGTGGTTTTGTCTGAAATCCGTAGTGTTTATGTCTAGCTAAAGAGATTTGATCTGCAGTATTGTAAAGAAGAAGGGCAAGTTATTATTAACCATCACAGTGTGGCTACCCCCACACTGCAAGGGTTAAGTGCTTGTTTTTGTCTAGGCAGGAAAATAAAAATGTCTGACTGGATGTAAGGACGCCGAGGGACTTTCCATTGTTGCAGTTTAGGAAAAGAGAGGCTGGAGGGAGTTCTGTCACAGCCAGCGCCAGCTCTGAGGATCAGGTATGTATAGCTTTGTTATTTTCCTCCATAGACCAAAACAAGCTGTTAACCCTTGCAGTGAGGGGGTAGCCCCACTGCAAGGGTTAATAATATTTTTTCCTGGAGTTCTGCTTTAAGGTCTGCAGTAGAAGAATAAATGCTTAGAACTTTACCAAACACTATGCTTATCTGTTTTCTGTTTTAAGTTGAAACTAATGGAAATATTCTCATTTACTGTATGACCATTATGTATATGACATGGATAACAATGTTGCCTTCAGCCCACGCTGTTCTCCCCTTTTAATTCTATGGAGAATACAGTAGAAAGGGGGTGACCACAATGCTTGGCATAACACAACTGAGGTACATAATGGACATGATATTGTTGATAACTCAACTGACCAATGTATACCTAAAGCTCAGTTTTCAGGGTTGGATGTACTCCCTATTTAATTTAGGAGCTATAAGAAAGCTCTAAGAGTCATACACAAATGTGTGTTTAACAGATCCATAAATGCACCGGTGAGGCAATAACGGTTTTGAATCAGAAGGTAAGTGTTTAAGATTTATATTCACATTTAGAGTTGTAAATACAAGTTTCTGCTCACACATTACATACTCATTATTAGGCTGTGTTAAATGGATGTGATTTATTCTACTGAGGAAATTAACATCTGTCTTACAGGTGGCTCCGGGCTCTGTACTTCTAATGAAGGTGCTTGAAGATTACATTCATCTTATTGGGGATGCTTTAAAGCCTTTCCAGAGCTCAATCATTGTTACAGACAATCTGGGTATGAGCCTTCTTGTTTATATTATATGTATATATTGATTGTGGCCTAGGGCAAGGATGGGCAACCTCAGTACTCAGCTGTGGGGAAAATACAAATTCCATCATGCCTCTGGGAGTCATGCCTGTGGCTGCCACAGTGTTACCTACCCCTGGCCTAGGGTATAGCTACATTCAGCATAGAGGGTGACATTGAAGTCATGGCACTCAGTCATAACATCTACCTTAAACTGATCAGCTGTGTGTCCATATTACGTATATGCTATACATGCACCAATACTGTTTTTTCGGTATCGAGTAGGAGTACCGATATTTTTTTTCCAGTACTCACCGATACCAAATACTGATACCGGAAGTTACAGTAGGGAAGCCGGGCAATATGTAATGACTCACCAACCGGCTTCCTTATTAGCCGGGTAGCTGTCTCCATGTTCCCTCGTCACCAGGTGAGGTGGCGATTCGTCATACGGCTCCCGGCTTCCAGATTGGCCGGGGAAGCTGGCTCCATGCTCCCTTGTCACCAGGTGATGAGAAAGCATGGAGCCGGCTTTCTAGCCAATGAAGTAGCTGGGGAATGGGTAATTGGGACCAATCAGGAAGCTGGGCAGCGATTTGGTTTCCTGATTGGCCAGGAAGCCAGTTCCATGCTCCCTGGTGATGAGGGAGCATGGAGCCTGCTTCCCTGCCTAACAGGAAGTCAGGCAACGTGTAATGACTTGCCGCCCGGCTTCCTGATACCGGAAATTCCGGTATCAGGATAGGCATCGAGAGCATTTGGGTGAGTATGAGTACTCGCTCAAATATTTGGTATTGGCACCAATATTTTATTTATTTATTATTTATTTATTACAGGTATGTATTTAGCGCTGACAATTTACGCAGCAATTTACATAGTTACACATTTACATCAATCCCTACCCTCAAGGAGCTTACAATCTAAAGTCCCTATTTCACATGCATACATAGAGAGGAGCCAATTAACCTACCAGCATGTCTTTGGAGTACCGATACTAGTACTGATACAATACCGATACTAGTATCAGTATCGGTGCATCCCTACTGTTAAGAGGGCAATTTCTTTCACATTGTATTCTTTGTTTGCACCTCTTTTAGGCATATGTGGTGTTTAAGCTATTAAAGTGTATGTGAAGCCAATACTTTTTTCCAGACTTTCCGTTTTTTATGTGTCCTGCTGGAGAAATTTCCTTTAACATCCTGCCCCATCGATGCAACAGGAAACGAGGGGAAATATTTCCATAGTGAGTGGAATTCCTGTCTTAGAGCGCTGTCTAATCCTCCCAATTTAGAGGATTTTCCCCCTCTTGCTCTAATGATCCCTGAATTGGTGCAGACACGGTCCTTCCTTCTGGACGGTGGCTACTTTTGTTCCCCATGGTCCCTGTGTGTATTGTAAAGTAGTCACTGCTTCAGCCTCACTCCCTTAATGGACTACAATTTCAATACAAATTAGTAACTAAATGTGATATTGTATTTTTTGAAGCTGGTTATCACTCAGGAGGTGGGAGGAAGATTTAACATTAAAACATATGACAACATATTTTGCATTGGGTTTATGGGGGAAGCAGCAAAAAGGAAGCAAATTTGTAATAAGAGAAATTTAAAGCTGCGCTTTAGCCTTACATTCAGTCTTGCCAAGTTGTACAGCCTCCTCTCTGTACTTAAACTGATAAGTCTGATTTCAGTGGACACTGTGAGTTTCTTACAGTGTGTATTAGAAGCTACAGCAAGCTACAGCGGGTCAGATAGCCCCAACCCCATTTTCTAGGTGGAGGGCCTCCAGCATCTTTGAGTCATTTCCTTCCTAGTCTTACTGTCCTTGGCCACTCCTTTCATTCATTAGAGTTCAGTATTTTTAATCATGGAAGCTTAGCATCACATGTGGACGTTACATAGGGCAACCTGCATGCAAATGTTGCTTGCCTGGGAACATCTACTCCACTAGCCTGGCATCCAGAGGGTGTTTATAGGTACAGACCACCAAAAAGCAATATTTTAGTCCTTTGTAGATGATGGAGTGTTAAATAATCATTTTGTTTAGTGTATATTTAATGTACTCTTTTGTTGAGAGATCTACATTTAAGCTGAACTCCAGGCATATATAAAATATGTACACAAACGCAACTTTGTATTTTTATTAATAAATGATCTACTATATTTTTTAAATGCAAGCAATGTAAGTACCTGAATTCAACTTAGTATCAGCCTGTTGCAATCTCCTATACAGCTGACCGAAACAGAGAAGAGCAGGGCTGAGAGACAGTCAGGTGTGCTAAACGTAAATGTGCTAAAAAGAAACATGCTGATAGCTCGAGAGAGCATAGTGAGCAAAGAGACTACCTATTGAGCCTCCCACTGTCCAGTCACCCAACTAGAGGTGGGGAGATGACAAGGGTGTATCCATTATATATATATATATCATCTATATAACATAAGGCAGGTCTGTGCAAGTCTCAGAACTACAGAACTAGATGAACAGAAATACAAAAACTATGGAAATGTTTGTATGGAAAACAGCCACCATATATGTATTTCATCTGCGTTATTTGGCTGTTTGCCTTGAGATCAGCGTTAAGTTCTTGCACACCTGCTGTGGCCATTATGAGTGCCATATTTATGCTATATTACGGAGAACAAAGCAGAAGGAGCTGTAGCATGCAAAGTTATTTACCATTATTATTACCATGCTGCTATTTTTCTAATTCATAATGCGGCTCACTGCCACTTCTTTTTCAATTTATTTTATAATCTGACAAAGATTGGAAATCTTTGTTAAACCTTTGATAAGGTTTTTAAATGCTGCAATGTATACATCAGAAATAGCATCGCTGTGACCATTATTCATCTTCTGTGTGTCTGGCAGTTATTAGCATCCAAAGGGAACCTGTCTCTGCTGTATCCAGTGATATAAACTTCCCAATGAAAGGAAGAAGAGGTATGAATGACTGGGCAAGAAACTCTGAAGATAAACTTTTCATCCCTAAGGAGGTCTTGATTTTGCCTAATGCAGGTGAGCATAAGGAACATCCTTCCCAGACATCCTTCCAAACTTAAACATTTACAGGGAATAGGCAGTTAACATCACTGTATTTGGCAGGGGATTGAAAGAAAGGTAAGCATGTGCTGCTGGGCAGGAAAGTTAAAGTGAATCTCTTCTTTTATCTTGCAAACTGCAAGCACATATTCACTTTAAAGTGACACTAAACTCAGGAGTTAAATCTTAAAAATACATTCAAGTACCTTAACAAAATTGTATCTTATTTGTGTATCACTCGGCTGTAGATCCTCAGATCATCTCTGATCTGGTGCTGACACTGTCCTCCCGTATGGAGGGTGGCTACTTTTGTTCCCCATGGTCCCAGCATGTGTTTGAAAGTAGCCACCCTCCAGAAGTAAGGACAGAGATGATTTTAGGATTTACTGTCGAGTGATACACAAATACAGTATAAGTAGAGAATCTCCAGCAACACATAATACTTCTAAAATGTATCCGTACGAAATACAGTATATACCGGGTAATTAAACATTATTATGATTCATATTATTTTTTATTCCCACTGTATAGGTAAATTAGATGTAT